TTACACAATGAAAGAGTGGTATTTGGTGATGAGATAAATAATCTTAGCTATGTGTGCACTTAACATAATACTTCAAAATATATAAATTTAAAAAATGACAGACTAAAAGGAGGAAAAGTTAAATCTGCAGTTATAGTTGGAGATGTCGCATTTCTTTCTTGGTGACTAACAGTACAAGCAGACCGAGATTACTGAGGATACAGAAAACTTGAACCAAGTTACTGCGAACTTGACCTGACGTATGTAGGACAGTCCCCCAACAACAGCAGAACACATGTTCTTTCAAATGCATGAGAAACATCAAACAAGATATGTCATATTCTGGGCCTTAAAGGAAGACTTTCAAAATTTTAAAAAAGAATAATATCATCATATCTTCATGGAATCAAACTAGAAGCCACGGAAATATATTTGAAAAATATCTCCAAATATTTGGAATTGAAACAGCACTCTTCTACGTTACCTATAGGTCAAAAGGAAATCTCAAGGGTTGTGAAAATATTTTAAATTGAATGAAAATAAAAATACGAAATAGCAAAATTTGTGAACTGTGACTAGAGTAATACTTAGAGAAAAATTTATAGCATTAAATGTTTTTATTAGGACAGATGAAAGTTTTAAAATTAATTTACACTTTCACCCTAGAAGCTAGATAAAGAAGACCTAATTAAATCCAAGTTAAGGAAAAGGAAGGAAAAATAAAGATTAAGGGAATAATTAATAAAATGGAAAAGAGATTAACAACAAAGAAAATCAACATGACCAAAACCTGGTTCTTGGAAAATATCAATAAAATTGATATGTCTTTAGCCAGACTTACCGAGAAAAATAGAGGAAAGACGAAAATTATCAACATCGTCATGAGATACCATAGAGAACAGCTAACATTATGCTTATGCAAGGATAATAAGCTTATGTTATGGACAAGTCTTCGCCTGTAAATGCAACAGCTTAGGTAAGATGAGCCAGCACCTTGAAAGATGTAAGCTGTCTTGTTCAAAACAGAAAGAAACTGATAACCTGAGTGTCATGATGATGATGAAATTGAATCATAGTAAACATTTACAAAAAGTAATATACTGCCTTTATATTGATCTGAAAAAAATAATATTCTAGGTTCAGGTGGTTCTAGTAGCAAATTCTACCGAACTTTTAAGGATAAAATAATGCTGATTCTAAGCAACTTCTTCCAAAAAATAGACTATTAGAGAACATGTTTCAAATCATGCCTTAAGCCAACATTTACCTTATACTAAAATAGACAACGATGTCACAATAAAGAAAACTACATACTAATAACTTAATGAACATAGACACAAAATCCTCAATAAAATATTAGCAAACAGAATCCAATATGTATAGGAATACATAAAGAAATATAAAAAAACCCCCACAATATTGGAAATCAGCTGATTTGTTTTACTAGATTGACTAAATAGTGTTAAGATGGCAGTTCTGATTTACAAATAGGTTCAACACAATCCCAGTTAAAGTATTTGCAAGCTTTTTGAAGATATAAGTGTGCTGGTTCTAAAAATTCTGTAGAAAATCAGAGGAACTACAGAAGTCAAACCATTTTCAAAAGGAACAAAGTTGGAGTTCTCACAGTACCTGACTCTCACACGTACTGTGAGTTACAGTCATCAAGACTGCATGTTGGAGGTAAGAGAATAAATCTGGAGATAAGCAAAGAGTTTTCAGTAGATAACAAAAGACTAATTGTTGAAGATAACACCTTGATAATTTGAATTTAATTAAAATAGAAATCTTTTACTCTTCAAAAGATGCTGTTCAAAAGCTGAAAGATGCCACAGATTGGGAGAAAATATTTGCACATCACGTTTATGTCAATTTAATTATTTCCAGGTTAAAAAAAAGAAACAAACAAACAAAAAAAACCCCAAATTTCAACACTTAACAAAAAAGTCCAAGAAGAAACGAGCAGAGGAATTTAGCTGGATTGCAGATATGTGCGTGAAAGTGTATTCGGTATCGTTAGTTATTAGGAAATGAGAGCAACACTATCACAAGCCAAGAAATGCAAAGGACGGCCAGCACCCTGGCGCAGGAGAGGGGCAGCCACGGTTTCTTCCTGAGACTCTTCCTTAGAGCTTCTTAAATGAACCGACCTGATTCTAGGCTCTGGCCTTTAGAACTAAAGAGAATAAATTTCTGTTGCAGGTTTCCATGGTACTTTGATATGACAGTCCCAAGAAACTAATATAATACACAACAGAGAAATTACTTTGAAAAATGAGGTGTTTTTCAAAGCCGGGTTACAGACGCTATAATGGAAGCTACATGGCCACAATAATGCAGCCATCTAATTCCCTGAGGGCTGCTATGGCTCTCACTAACCTTGGAAAAATAGGAAAGATTATCTGAAGACTGTTTTCTTTGAAAAAAATATATTTATCTTCAAATAAGTATACGTGGTCTATTATTTCATAATTCTTGACAGCCCCAAATCAATTTCTATTCTATGAGCTTTTGTAAATGGGGGAGAGTGAGTCACAGAGGACGCTTCCGGGCATAAAGTTGAGAAAGAGCATAGAGGCAAATGAATGTCCTAGGTTAGGTGCTGTCTTTGCCTCCAAACAGATGCCTAAGGAGAAGCTAAAAATATTACAGTGTCTGGGACATTGTCAGCCTAAGTATGTGGCTAAGATCTAGGTTATGAGAAAAAGGGGCCCCTAAGTAAATTCTTAGCTAAATAAAGTTAAATAACTTTTTCA